AAGTTAAGTCTTTGGTGACCTTCAGAGTTCGGAATCGGCTGCTGCTCAATTAATTTCTTCCCTGCTACCTTGCATCAATTCAGGAGAGTCCGCCCCTAGTTAGAACTTAGACTGTGCAAGTTTTAGTTTCTTCATTCTTGAATAGTTTATTTATAGCTTGTGGTTGTGGCTTGAAGCCTTGAAAGCAGACGCAGTCGGCACTCGGCAGTCATTGTCTTTTTTTTCCTTTTCAATGATTTTTCTTGTAGAATGTTTAGTAATCATTCATTTAAATTAATCCCTTCTGAGCAATAGAGTTAGTATGTAATTGAAATCATGCTTTGACGGCTTTGTGTTATGGTTTAAAATTGATTGTAATTTTGATTCTGCTCAACTAGAGTTAAAGAGTATTTAAAGTTATTATCAGGATTCAGGAGATATGTTGTTTTGAATGAGTCTCTAATGCTCTGTCTCAAAAAATTGATGGTGAACTTATGGTCAGCTTGTTTTGCTCTGTATTAAAGAATTGAAATTGAGGTGGAGACTCTTCATTTGGAAAATAATGAACTTCTGGAAAGTAGATAAAAAACAAATCAAACTGATGGTGATGTTTCTTTACTGGTACTGGAGTTAAACATGATCTTTCCACTTTGAAAGTGTTGATTTTGTTTCATTACTTACTTATCTAGATGTAACTGAGAATGAACCAAACTCTTACGAAGAAGTAATTAAGGCCCTTAATTGGATGTTACCTGTAATGAAATCTTTTCTCAGTAGTAAAATATGGTGTGAAGTTGTGGAGCCTTATCTATTGTCTTTTTACTAATGACTAATGATCAGTACTGTTATCTCACCTTTGCCAATTCTTTGTAGGAAGATATGTTGAGATTTTTTAAACGAATATCTCAGAATTCTATTGAAGAAAATGTTGAGACAAAGAAACAACGCATTGATGAGATTTATATTGAGGAAAATGTCGAGACAAAGGAAGCAAGGATTGAGGATGCTGCTATTGGAGAAAATGATGAAGCAAAGGAAGCAAGTATTGATGACACTCTTTTCCCCTAAGAAAATGATGAAGCAAAGGAAGCAAGTATTGAGCATATTGATATTGCACAACTTCCCACGGATCCCGGATTAAGAACCCAATACTGAATTTCAATGTTAATCTTCAAGATCAAATAAGAAGAGCATACTTGCAGAGAGGTCCGTGTCAGCCTCGGAGCCATGTGTTTCCACGTAAAAAATGAAGGCGATTCATTTCTACTTGGTTCAATGAATATGGTGATTGGTTAGAATACAGTATAAGTAAGAATGATGCATTTTGCTTATATTGTTATATTTGTGGACCAAACAATGGAGAACAAGGAGGTGGTGATGCTTTTGTGAAAGAAGGGTTCCAAAATTTTAAAAGGAAGGATAGACTTGGAGTTCATGTTGGAGACGTTCATAGTGCACACAATCAAGTCCGAATCAACTGTGAAGCCTTGATGAATCAAAAACAACATATTGAGAAAGTATTCTTCAAGCAGTCAAAACAAGCCCGGAGTATATATCGAATTCGTTTGAATGCATCCATTGATTGTGTTCGACTTCTTTTACGCTAAGGACAAGCTTTTCGCGGTCATGATGAGTGTGATGAGTCAAATAATCAAGGTAACTTTCTTGAACAGTTGAAGTTTCTAGCTGATCATAATGAAGGGATTAAGGCTGTCACTTTGAAAAATGCTCCAAAAATCACAAACTAACATCACCAACATTCAGAAGGATATTGTAAGTGTTGCAGCTGTTGAAATGATTGATGTTATCATTAAGGATATTGATGATGCATTCTTTTTAATTTTAGTTGATGAATCTCAAAATATCTCAGTGAAAGAGCAAATGTCTATTGTTTTACGTTATGTGGATAAGATGGGACATGTGGTTGAACATTTTATTGGGATTAAACATGTTTCCAGTACTACAGCTCTATCACTCAAAGCGGCTATAGATAAATTATTTTCAAGATATGGATTGAGTATATCTAGATTGAGAGGTCAAGGTTATGATGGGACGAGTAATATGCAAGGCGAGTTCAATGGTCTCAAAACACTTATTTTGAAAGAGAATCCAAGTGCATTTTATATTCATTGTTTTGCTCATCAACTACAATTAGCTCTTGTAGCCATAGCAAAAAAGAACAAGAAGGTCCAGTCACTCTTTAATTTGGTTTCTAGCGTGGTGAATATTGTTGGAGCTTCTTCTAAACGTTGTGATATTCTTCGAAAGAAACACGAAGCCATAATTTCTGAAGCACTCAGTAATTGTGACATTTCAAGTGGACGGGGTCTTAATCAACAAAGTACTATTGTGCGTTTTGGTGAGACACGTTGGGGATCGCATTATCGTACTTTGATTAGTTTGATTTTGATGTTCTCACCTATAATTGATGTCATTGAAATGATTTCAGTTGATGGATCAACACGTGAGCAAAGATGCGAGGCTGATAATTTATTGGACTCAATGCAGTCTTTTGAGTTTGTGTTTAATCTACATCTCATGAGAACCATCTTAGGG